GTGCTGAGAAATAAAGTGTACAAGAATTACACACTTAAAGAAATTCTACAGTAAATTTGACTGCTGAGATGTTTGTATTACAATTTTACAAAAAGGTGTTTCTAACAGATTGGAGGGAAATCCACCAGTCCTTCATCAAGTTAGTTTAAGAAACTCTGTAACTTGGGATGTTTTTGATAGAAACATTTTTGCATGCACACACACCCTTTTCATATAAACAAATAATCATATAAAATGTTTTTTTAAAAGTCTTGTTTTATTGTAAAAGTAGTGTGTCTTCATTGCAAAAACAACTTGGAAAGTACAGAAGGCTTTTTCATTTTTTTGAAGTAATCCATACCTCTGACATGAGCTAACTGCTGCTTACATTTTGGTGCATTTCTCTTGTCCTTTTTTCCTATTTGTATTATGTAAGTGTTTTGTGTAAACAGGCTTTGTATATCTACTCTTTATTTTGTGTATCATAAGAATTTGCATGTCATTAAATACTCTTTTACAAAGGATTGCTGGGTAGGCTATCATCTAGTTGTACCATAATTTATTTGCCCCTTTTATATGGTCCTCTCTTGCTGGCACTTATTATATGCCCTTCTTTATTTGCTATTGCACGTAATGCTTTGAGGATTTTTGTGCAGCATCTTTGATAGTATCTCCAATTTCCTTAGGATATATTTCCGAAAGTAGAAAGACTAGGTCAAAAAGTATGACTATTTTAAGGTTTTGATAAATTGCCCTTCAGAAATGTTGAACCAAATTTCAGCTACCACCAATAGGGTTAGGCTTACCACACCAAGTACTCTCATGGCTGGCGCTGTTAGAGTGGGGAGAAGGTTGACAAAAATGAGGGCAGAAGGAATAAATGAGTGGATCCCTTGGATAAAAGATGAGAGGAGCTCAAGATGTTCATGTGGCATGGAAAATAGTCTGTTGGCTAAAGTGAAGGATACTCTTAAGGAAATAGAAAAGACAGACAAGTTGAGTTGAATCTGATTTGATGTGGCACTGAAAGCCAGTTTAGAATGGTATTAGGGAGACACTAATGGCTTTTGAGAGCTCCAGGGTTCTGCTGTAGGAAGATGGTGGTATATAGCATAATCCATGGCATACTGCCTCTCATTCCCTGTATACTCCCTGCCCTTTCCCACCTCATACCTTTGCTTGCTCTGTTCCCTCTGCCTAAATGCCCTGCTTTCCATAATCTATCAAAGCTGCACTCATCCATGAGGGGGACCACTCCCAAACTCTTGCCTATGTGCTTCTTGCTCCACTGCATAGCACTTACTGGTAAGATATGCCATATTACTTTGTTATAACTATTTGGTGCACTACTCTGTCCCTTAGATTATAAGCTTCTAGTGACTCATTCAATTTCATATCCTTAGATGCTTACCGTCATGCCTGGTGTCTAAATGGTATTAATACACATTTGCCAAGGGAATCCCAGGTACTGTGTATGTCTCCTCTGACCTGATACAAGTACAGCCAAGGCCAGGAGATGGATGTTTCAACAGGCTGGGATATTGGATGTCTCAACTAAGTCTTTATTCCAGAGCCAGTTGGATCATCATGTGCGGCTCCATGAGGAACACCCTGCTCTTAACATTTCCCCTACCTACCCATCCCAAAGACCTCTACTTGCCAGCTTTCAGAGACCACCCTCCCTTAATATAAATGGAAAACTTGACTCTAGAAATGTTTCTAAGTCATAATTTTTTATAAAACCTTTTATCTGAGTTTGCATCATTGTATTAATTACAAACTCAAGAAATTTGTGACAGATTTTGGAATTAGGTTTTCTGATTTGGAAGAGATGCCGTATGTCATAAATGTTTTCTTTAAACTTCAGGACAAAAACAAAGTTCAAAGATGACATCCATTTCCTCACTATGCAGAAGTAATCATCGTTAAATGTTGACACACTAGGTTCTAGTCTCTCTTCTGCATGTATTACATTTATTATTAATTGCATACATAATATATGAATATTATTGTTTAAAAACTAAAAATATTACAGATAAAGCCTAAGGCCCACTTAGACTTTCATTTCCATATCCCATAGTTTTAAATTGTTTTTGAAGTAAAGTCCTCTGTTTAAATGAGATTTTATGTAAAAAGTCTCATGTTCAGTTAATATGTGAGTATCCCATGTACATGGTTTCATGTACTATCATGTGTGGGGGCCAGAGCTGTGAACATTATATGCAAGGCCTCTGCCCCCATGGAATAACCAAATAGGATCAGTTCGAACAGTGGCAACGGCCATGAAGAGCATCACGCAGGGTAAAGGGCTTAAGAGTGTGCCTGGAGCATGGGAAGGGGACCCCTGCATACACAGTGGTTGAGGATGGCCTCTCTGAGAAAGTGTGATGACGAAGAGTCAGGCACACAGAGATGTGGGCCAGGGCACACCAGCCAAGGACATAGCTGATACAAAGGCCCTGAGGCAGGAGCCAGTATGGCCAGTATGGTGGGAGTACGGTATCTCAGATGAAGAGTGCCATGTGGTGAGGTGGAGAGGCAGGCAGGAGCCAGAAAGTGGAGACCCCTGGAGGCTGTTGGACGACTTTGTATATTCTTATAATTGCAGTGAGTAGCCACTGGAGGTTATTATAAAATATTGATTAATACCTAAAATTTCAATATCCAAAATGGATAAAAGCAGAACTTCTGGAGTACAAAACTCAAATCAGTATCTACTGAAAACCTCTGATCTCTTCCCCCTCTCCAGTCTAATAACTGGGGTACCTTACACCTGGGGCATTTCTAACAGGTAACTCTAGTAAGATGAAAACAGAGCCAAAGACTCCTTGGCTCCATCCTATCCCAATCACAGGCATGAGAAAGTTATTCCTTATGTCACCTTATAGCTCCTACCTATTGGTTTTAAATTCAATCTTGGGGTGGCATAGTTCTGATCTTGTTGCTATGTAGCAGTCCTCAAATCAATTCAAGGATAGTTGGGAGCCTCTGCCTCCCCTTGGGCCCTCATTTCCCTTTCAGGAAGTGCCTGCAGAAGTGCTAGCCCAGTCTTTCAGCACACGCTTAGTTTGTCAGCAGTTGTCAGGATGGTGACAGTAATTACATCATCTGGCAACCTGCTATCTCCTCTCTCTCTGAGGGTGCTCAGCCTTCACTGCAGCTTCTCAAGCAAGGTCACCTGCCCACAGCTGTAAAAAATGAGAGTACTCAAGACCCAACCACACCTGCTTCCTCTGTTTCTTTTTTTTTTTTTTTTTGAGAGAGAAAGAGAATGATAGGAGAGGTTTCTAAATGTGACTCCCTGTTGCTTGCAGGATAAATCCAGACTCCTTGGCCTGGCTTGCAGCTTTTCCACACCATCCTGCCCCTCTAGTCTGACTTCATGTGGTTCCTCCCCAAATTCCTGCCTTTGTTCCTACCATCTTCTCTGCACAGATGTGTTTCTCCACCTCCACCCTAATTCGTGAAGGGCCATTTCACATTCCACTTTTTAAATAAGTTTTCAGTCCCATCTCTTTTTCAAAATTGAAAATCTACAAAAGTCAAATATGTACATGAATATGGGATCATTATAAAAACAAAAATAACGTGAGGAGAGTATTTCCTTTCTTCCCCATTTCCAGCCTCCTTTCTTCTCAGTTAGGAATTTGCTGTGTATTTTTCCAGGTCTTTTGCTGTGCATTTACATGTAAATGATTTAAGTTTTTGTGTGAGATTGCTTTAAGAAGACACTGTGACATCATGTTGTATGTGTTATTCTCTGACTTCCTTTTTTTAAAATTAAGGTATTATTGATATACACTCTTATGAAGGTTTCACATGAAAAACATTGTGGTTACTACATTCACCCATATTATCAAGTCCCCTCCATACCCCATTGAGGTTACTGTCCATCAGTGTAGTAAGATGCCACAGAGTCACTACTTTCCGACTTGCTTTTTCAGTTGACAATATAACTTGGAAATTTTTCCCAAGGTAATACATATAGTTGTAACTTCAAAACAAAACTAAACTATGCAGTCATTAAAAATGTATTATGGGGAGTAAAAATTCAAATTCAAAAGGGTATAAATTAAAAGGAATAGTTCTCCAGTCCCCTGCTTTTATTTTGGAGATTACTGCTATTAACCCTTTCTTATATATTCATAAATAACATATATATTCTCTAAAACATGTAGTCTTGTAATATATAGTATATGTAATGTAGCATTTTGAACATGTTTCTGTATCTACATACACAGATGCCTTGTTCTTTTTAATGAGTTGATAGTATTCTATTATGTGGATATACCATAATTAGCCATCTCCCTATTGGTGAACTCATTTGGACTTTTCTGCTTGAAAATATCCAACCTCTTTAGCTCCTGTGAAGTTGCTTTTTTTTTTTTTGTCATGAATTTAAATTATTCAACACAATAAACATTAACTGAGTGCCTCTTATCTCCCTGGCACTATGCAGGACATAGGGCCACCAAGTTGCTTGATGAACAGCCCCTTCCCCTGGCTTTAAGTTATCACAGTCTAACAGGAAGACACACTTCTAAGGAACTTAGAATATGACATTAGTTGGAATAGGTAGATATGCCTTAACATACATATTATTAATTGGGAAAGGTAAAGGAGAAATTGGAATTGAACTTTAAAGGGTGTGTAAGAGATCCTAGATTCCTAGGAGACGAAGTAGAAAAGGTCATTCCTGCATGGGGAGTAACAGAACAAATGGGTTGGCAAGAAAGAGCATGGGATATACAAAGAATGGCCAATAGTCCCATCAATTGGAACATATGCTGTGATGTGGAGTGGATGGGGTTGTACTGTTTGCTTAGCAGTTGGTCACAAGAAACATTGAGTAGGCGAATAGTAGGACATGTGCTTTCTGCCCAGCTGGTCTCCAGACCCTCTTGGAGTCATCCTGGCTGTGCCTGGCAGGGCACTGACATTACCTTCAGTGTAGAGTCTCTTTCTTTAATTGGTCTGATTAAAAAAAGCCTACTTAATCATGTCATGTCCTCTTTTTACAGAGTTTAGTCACTCCAAGAATTAGAAAAGAATTCAGCCATGGCCCCAAGGAAGAGAGGTGGACGGGGGATTTCATTCATCTTTTGCTGTTTCCGAAATAATGATCACCCAGAAATCACCTATCGGCTGCGAAACGACAGCAGCTTTGCACTTCAGACCATGGAGCCAGCGTTACCCATGCCCCCTGTGGAGGAGCTGGATGTCATGTTCAGTGAACTTGTGGTGAGTCCCAGACATCCATCCCAGCTGTGGCTGGGGGCCAGGAGGGGGAGGAGAGGATGTGGATGGTTTGGTTTGGTTTGGTTTGGTTTGCTCAGCCATGGGCCTGCCCTTCTTTAGTGAAAAGGCTGCCTCCCACCTCTACCCCCAGTGTCAGCACTGAGCCAGTGGAAAAAGAGAAGGAAGAGAGTAGCATTACTACATCAGAGGGTTTTGCTGGTGCTTTAAGTGGAGGGACTTGGACCTTTAAGTCTTCAAATCTGTGACAGTACTGCATCCTAAGTTTCCCTGTCCAATCCATCCTATCCCAACCTGAGTCTACACTTGTATGCAAAAATAATTCCCTCCTCTGCTTCACACCTGGGGTTCCCCAATGCTTCCTCCACCCTGACCCCCTGTATAGTATTAATGTCTCTTTAAAAATTAGTCATACTACTCCTCCTGTCCTTGATCCTTTGATGAAAGACATTATTACTTAAGTACAGTATAATTATTTAGCCTAATGATAGGATTGCAATAAGAACTGTTGTGGGAAGCTTTGTATAGATACTATCCTATTTTAGAATCCACTGTACTGAACTGACAGATGTGCAGGTGAGAGAGTGGTGTAGGACCCATTCATCAACTTAGCTTTTTAAGCATCTCTGAAGTAGTGTTTCTTTCCATTCTGCATTTTGAAGGATATTATGGTATAGTTAAAAGGGCACTAGAATTAGGGAATTAGGAAGACCTTGGCTCAAATACTGTTCTAACTTTATTATCTGTAAAAGAATGGGAAAAGCCTATGACTTTTTGAGCCTATTTTCTGTAAAATGGAGAAAAAAATAATACCTCCTTCTAGTTTGGTATGTTTAAATGAAAGTAATACACAGTGGGAATGGCCCAATGCCTGGCCCTTATTAGTTGCTCAATAAGTGTTACATTTATAGTAGAGGGAGTACTCTACCCTACTTTGATCACTATTGGAGTTTTTTAATGGAATTAGTTATAATCAAACAATTTCTAGTAATTCAACAGATACTAGAAAGTGCTGTTTTTTTGCATGACTCTTAAAGGGCCAAGATAGTAATGTAGACTGTCACTGCCCTCCCCAGAGAAATATCTGAACTGATATGTTACTCCAGCTCTTCTAGAACAGAATTCATCTAGAAACTTATTTTCTAAGATAAGCCAATGAAGCAGATGGTTGAGTTCTGGTGCCTGTGTGGGTAAGTGGGCTTACTTCCAAACAGAATTGGTTGGAAGAAAGAAGAGATGAACTCTAAGCAGCATGTTTATACTTAACAATGTTGAACATTTTCAGTGTTTAGGGAATTCCCACATGCTCCATTGCCATGTGTGCAGAACTCTGTTCTAGGTGCTAACGAGAAGGTTCAAGATAGAAAACCAGGACTTGCTCCCAAAGAGCTGACAGTCATAGTAGCAAAAGGAGACCAGTAAAGGTATAATGCCACCAAAGGGGAAAGCACTACCCACCTCCACATAGATTGTGTATAAATGTGTGGTGGGCTAAAGGACATAGTGTTGAGAAGAGTGATCAGGAAAGGCTTTCTGGAGGAGGTGTTATGAGGAGCTGTTGAAGGTGAGAAGAGAAGTGGCTGTCTCAGTCATCTTAATCAAGTTTGCTCTGTGATAGCAAAATCTTGGTGGTTACAGCAGCAGACAGAGGCTTTTCTCTTCCTAATGTTGCATGTGCACTTTGGGCCAGCTGTGGTTTTGTTCCAAGACCAAGGCCTGCTGGAAGAGGAAAAAGAGGTGTGGTGAACTGCTTGCAGGTTCTAAGTTTATGCTTGGTAATGTCCTATGTCACTTCTGCTCAAATTTCTTTGGCCAGTGCAAATCATTTGGCCCCCCTGAGTTCACAGGGTAAGGGTGTATTATCCTTCTGTAGAGTCTCATCCATCTGTAGAGATTGGCACTACAAGTCACATCGCCAACCCTGAGGTCACTGGGGCAGGTGAAGAAACATAATCCTCTCCCAGGGATGGGCAATGAATCATCTACTGTGATGGCCATCAAGGAGAGCAGTAATTATGCATTGACAGGTGTGGTTTTATTTCCTACTTACAAGTATTTTAAAACCAGTCAGACTACAGAGCCAGCTGTTGCTGGTAGATGAAGGCCTCATCGGTGGCAGTGGGGTTGGTGGGCAGAGCTTCCCCTCACAGCATCCACGCGCACTGTCTGGCCGCTGTATGCTGTCAAACACCCTGAATGAGGCCCGAGCCAGCGCCTGGGTGGAGGCAGCTTTGCATGTATCTTAAAGACAGCTCATTGTTCAGGATTCACTAGGGAGAAAAATTCCACTCTTTGCCTTATTGATGTCTTTATTCTGTGTGAAAATTGCCAACAGCTGTTAGTTGTGAAAAAACCAGTGCCAAACCAGAACTTTAAGCTGAAACCATTGGAAAACAAATTATCTTGAGGTTTGTATCTGTCTTGGTGAGTGACGGATGGATTTCTGTCTGCTCCTGACTTCAGGGAGTTAGACCACAAATCTATTCAACTGCCAGGCAAGTCCTGGGCCACAGGAGGTGGGCTCAAAGCCACTGGAAATGTATGCCCTGGGTTCTCTGAGTAATAGCAGAAGCAGTCTGCCTCTACCCATGCACAGGAGAGGGGAGGCCATGTGGGGAGGCAGAGAGTGCAGACAATCTAAGGTAACTTCCTTTAAGATGGTTTCTGCTAGAATTTGAGTTTATTTCCTTGTTATATAATGGGGATAATACCATCTCTCTGGTAGAGTTGGTGTAAAGATTAAAGAAGATTACCTCTTTAAAAAGGCTGACTCCTTCTAGGTACTTCACACTTCACATCCTTGTGCATTTAGAGGGTTGGGAGATAATTTGAGTGCTTTTTGGGCACAGTACCCTAAAAAAATATCCCAGGGTTTTCCTTTTCTTGAAAAAGGAATAAGTTAATCTGCCTGCAGTGTGTGAGCCAAGGTGAGTCCATTTTACCTCTGTGTCTGTTGGAAAGCATCTCATCAGAGCCGGTGTTCTAAGCTAGTTTCCTTGGGCTTCTCTTATGAGTCACTTGTTTTATGTTTCTGAAAGTGATACCAAGTAGATTGCTTTCAGAATTGCTTACTGTGACCGTATCTCATAAATAAAGCAAACCTGGTGAGAGATCAGCCATGTGCATCTTTAAAGATGGGCAGGAGGAGCGCCTTGTTCTCTAGCTGGCCCCCTGCCACACATGGCAGAATCAGAATCATTCCAGTTTCAGGTCGTGGTTGTTGTAAAGGTTGTAGTCCCACACCCTGCCTATTCTTTTTTAATAACAGTTTTATTGAGATACAATGCACATACCATATAATTCACTCATTTAAAGTGTACAATTTGATGACTTTTAGTAGAGTTAGACTTGTGCAACATCACTATAATAAATTTTAGAATGTTCACATCACCTCCAGAAGCTTCCCTCCCCATTAACCATCATTCCTCATTTCTCCCCAACCCTACCATTCCCTAGCAACCACTAATGTACTATTTCTGTGAATTTGCCTATTGTGGGCATTTAATATACACGGAGACATATAATATGTGGTCCTTTGTGACTGGCTTCTTAAACTTAGCATAGTCTTTTCAAGGTTTATCATGTTGTATCAGTAATTCATTTCTGTTTCTGGCTAAATAATATTCCATTGTATAGACAAACATACAGCCTTTTGTTCATCGATTCACTATTGATGGACATTTGGGTTGTTGCCAGTCTTTACCTATTTTGAAAAATGCTGCTGAGTAATAGTGTTATATGGTTAAAACTTTAATATTTTTTTTAATTTTGTTTAATTTTTGAGGAACTGCAAGACTGTCTTCTGAAGTGGCTGCACCATTTTACAGCCCCACCTGTAGTGCATGGGGGTCCCAGTTTTGGGAAAATTTTTAAAAATATTTTCCACTGATGGTGATTTTTTTTATTAAGGTATCATTGATATACAATTTTATGATGGTTTCACAAGAGCAACACTGTTGTCACTACATTCATCTGTCTTATCGAGTCACCCCACCCACCCTGATGCCACAACAGTCACTGTCCATCAGCATAGCAACATGCCATACAGTCACTGCTTCTCTTCTCCATGCTGAGCTGCCTTCCTTGTGACCCCCCTGCATTATGTATGCTAATCATAATGCCCCTTAATCCCTTTCTCCCTCCCTCCCCACCTCTTTCCCCAACCTCTTCCCTTTAATAACCGCTAGTCCTTTCTTGGAGTCTGAGTCAGCTGCTGTTTTATTCCTTCAGTTTTGCTTTGTTCTTATACTTTGCAAATGAGTGAAATCATTTGATACTTCTCTTTCTGCACCTGGGTTATTTCATTGAGCATAATACCCTCTAGCTCCATCCATGTTGTTGCAAATGGTAGGATTTGTTTTCTTCTTATGGCTGAGTAATATTTCATTGTGTATATGTACCACATCTTCTTTATCCATTCATCTACTGATGGACACTTTGGTTGCTTCCATATCTTGGCTATTGTAAATAATACTGTGATAAACATAGGGGTGCATATGTCTTTTTTAATCTGGGGTCTTGTTTTCTTTGGGTAAATTCTTAGTAGTACAGTTCCTGGGTCAAATGGTATTTCTATTTTTAGTTTGTGGAGAAACCTCCGTACTGCTTTCCACAATGGTTGAACTAATTTACATTCCCACCAGCAGTGTAGGAGGGTTCCTCTTTCTCCACATCCTCATCAGCATTTGTTGCTCCTAGTCTTTACGATGTTGGCCATCCTAACTAGTGTGAGGTGATATCTCATTGTGGTTTTAATTTACATTTTCCTGATAATTAGCTTTGTGGAGCATCTTTTCATGTGCCTGTTAGCCATCTCAATTTCTTCTTTGGTATCAGATCCTCTGCCCATTTTTAATTGGGTTATTTGCTTTTTGAGGCATTTGCTTTTTGAGGTGTTGAGGCATGTGATTTCTTTATATATTTTGAATGTTAACCCCTTTTTGGATATGTCATTTATGAATATGTTCTCCCATACTGTAGGATAC